TATTCCAACTCTAGGACTCTATGATTCTATGAAATAAGAATCTAACATCTAAATTTGTTACTTTCTAAATCCTTTGCATAGTTACATTTAAGCCAGCATATTTAATACACAACACAGGTAGCTTCTTTAAAAGAATAAAGCCTTTGTAAAGAAGAAAAAGAACTCAGTAAAAAGGAACACAGTAAAAAACCGTTTTAAAAGAAGCCTGTTCCCCTGTTCATACTCCCCCCCCTTCTCCAGCCAGTTGTTTTCTCTTCCAAGTGCTCTTGACCTTTTGTCCTGTGTCTCAAGTTTAAGGCACATGGTTTTATTTTATTATTTACTCATTCCTAATTATATTTATCTCTGCCTTTGTTATCTTCTGTAACATGTAGGGTCAATGTCCTGCTCTTTAACCTGTAATTCCCCCCTTTCACGACTTTGAGAATTGTTTTCTGCTATAAATCAAAAGGGGCCCCTTGTCTTAGGAGAATGGCCAAGGTTTTCTCTGCCTGGCATGAAACTTTTGAAAATCTAACCCCATTTAATTTAGGAACCTGATCAAATATAAGCCAATATATGCCTTGATTAAAAATGCAGTCTATATTCAGATGCCACAGTATCTTTAGGATATATGGTTTACTTACACACAAGTATATAAAACCTGAGCCTATGACAGAAGGGTTCACAGCATTACCACCCCAGGAGGGTCTTGCTTCTCTGATAGGAGTCACAGTCTTGGATTCCAACAGAAATTAGGTATAAGCCTGTCTCTTAGCTGCCCAGCCTACAGATAGTCAGCTTCTAGCTTTTCTACCACACATACACCTCAACCCTGGCCTTTATCTCTCTAACTACCAGCGAGTTGAAGGGGGAGGCATTTGTCATCTGCTTAGATATTAACACTTGCTGGATCAAGGAATTAAAAAGGGGCTTAAGCATACAGCCTACCCCCCCCCCAACTCGTAACAACACACTAACATGTAACAGTAAGTATACGAGGCAAAATGTTGATTTAGGAATCAGCTCAGAATTGTTGTCGGCAGGTATAATCCTTTATACCCTTTTCCAGCAAATATAGAAAGAAAATCTGTATTTGAAAACAGGAAGTTTACATTTGATAAACAGGCTCAGACTTGACTACTGTGAAGCGTTTTGTTATGAAAGACTGTGATACACACACAGGAATAATACTGCTATTTATTAACCCATAGATTTAAGGAGGTGGATACAAGAGGAAGAAGATGAGCAAAGAGGTTAAGACATCTTAACATGTTTGAATAGTGTTGCACTGAAGACAACATACATATATATATTTGCTATTTAGATCATTCTGTTAAATACTTACAAGTAATCTGAAAGGTTACTATTAAGTGGGATCAAAGTGATTAACAGTGCACTCCTATATATGTCTACTCAGAAGGAAGTTTCACTGAATTCAGTTGAGACATATTTCCAAGCAAATGCAGAAAAGATTGTAATCTTAATCCCTTATAACATCTTTTGTTTCCTTTTTAAAATTTTCATTTTATTAATCACATTACGGATAATATTTTGGAAAATTTTGCATACATCTTATGCTATACTGATGTGCTTTTTATTGTTGTTTGAACAAAAGAATAGCAATGGCCAGCTTGCTAAATCAAATTAATGTACAGAAAATACATACTGAATCAATATTAATAAACACCACCAGATGGCGCTTATGTACACAAAGACTAAATCCTCACCAAAGATGCTAACTTCTTTGTACAGATCCTCCTAGTGGACGCCCACACCATAAACATGTACGGTATCTACCATGCATGCTTGGAGGTGCAGTCTGGATCTGAAACGTTTGGTTGGCTCTTGCTGTTTTTGTGCAAGTGTGATCTAGTTTGTGATCTTTGCAATTCCAACCCCTGACACACACTTTCAAAAGTCGCATAAGAATTACAGTTTAAAACATCACAGGTTTCATGTTTGTGAAATAATTATTTATTCATACTTATAATCTGCCTTTCACCAAATGGTTACAGCATGGGTTATAAAAATAGTACAACATACATTACAATCATAAAATAAAATAAAAACAAAAAAAAGTGCTTATCCCTACTCATATACTCAGTACAAGCAAATCATAATGTGGAATTCAGTATGGTTGCTTTGAGCAAAATAAATGCTAGTCCCTTCCCATTTTGGTGGGGGTTGGAATATCCAAGGATATTTCTCAAGTTGGAATGGGAATCATTTATTTTCCTTTGTCCTCTATTCATGAGAACTGTTCGTGGTCATCAAATGTCCAGTCTCCTCTTCCAGGGGCAACTCAAGATTCATTAAACTGAAGGAGCTGTTGCTTGTCTAGCAAAGCAAAATCAGTCTTCAGTCGAAATCAGATTCCGTATGCCCTTGGAAAGGTGCAAGGAATGTTAGGCCCTCCCGGTGTTGCTGAACTACCATTCCCATTAGAAACCAGCAAGCCAGACCAGTGCCCAAAGACTTTGGGAGCTGTAGTTTAGCAACATCTGGAGAACCAAAAGTTCATCACACCTCCCCTAGAGAATATAATCTAGAGTCTAGAAACTCCTATATGTATTTTCTAGGAAGTGATCTTGTAAAACAGCTAGCAAAAGTGATCTATGTCAGGGTGATATTGGCAGCTTTGCAGACAAAATATATTACGTCAAGTGGAGGAATATCAGCAACTTGCTTGAAAAAAAATAATTCAGTCTTCGCATCTTAATTTCAGCAGTCCTGTGCAAGCGAGTAAGAGGTCTCTTCATACTTCAGTCAGCCTGTGCTTTTGGGAAACTGCACAGAAATCTCTCTCTTCCATAAATATACTTCGGTATATTTCATCCCCATAGTTACAGCAACACTTAGGTGACGAGTGGTGCCAGCACATTGTGCTCTTCCTTCTTCTGAAAGCTGAAGCAAATGCATCAAGCAGACAAATATTCTAATTCTGACTGTAACCAGGTACTGTACTGTGCCTTCATTTCTTAAATGAGCCTTGTCAAGCTGTGTTATAATAAGGTGACCTTGCATCCAGTTCTGCAGGCTTTGTCTCTTTTCCATCACTAGAGAGCTACATTTAGGCCTACTGTTTCTTGGAGGCTTGTATAAAGTGCAAAGGGGCAGAAACGAGCAAGGCTTCCTGCCAGATTCCTGTCCAAAGTAATTGGCTTGACAAGACAGCTGCCAGAATCTGTCCTGGAGGTCAAGGGGAAAAGAGAATCAGGGTGCAGTCAACTGCATTGGCTGCTGCAAGAAAAGACAAGTGATGCAATGGTGGCTCAAAGCTGATGGTATAGAGCAGGAGCGGGGTGCCTGAGGACCTCCAGATGTTGCTGGACTCCAACTCCCATCAGCACCAGCCAGCATTGTCAATGTAGTCCCAAAACCTCTGGATGCCACAAGATTCTATTCCTACCTGCAGCCATCATGTGCCTTCCTTCTGAGTATTTGTATAGAAGGACATTTCCAGACAACCTACCTATTGTACATTCATCCTTGCACTAAAAAATGGTGCAGTGGTTATAGAACATTGCCTTCATGCAGTAGTTATCCCACACTTTTTCACATCACTTTGCTTAGTGCAAAAAAGTGTGATTTGGGGAGGAAGTGAATTTGTTACACCATTGCAGTGCCATTCCTCTTTATCACAGTGGTGGCTGAACCTCTCAATTTTGGTTTCTCTTTGATTCAGTTCAGTTCAGTTCTCCACATCTTCACATCAGTATGTGAATGTTTTTTTAAGTTCTCATGAAAAAATGTCAACGTTTTTAGTCCCAATTTTTCCTACTATATAGATTTTTACAAGCAACTTATCTTAACGTAATGCAAGTTTCCCCTAATATGCATTTTTAGGAACACCTTCCCCTAATATGCACATTTTTATCCACATTTATCAGCTGGAGAACTACATCGTAAAATTCAGACAACTGTGAAACTCAAAGGAGAGCTGCATTTCAGTTTGCATTTGGTTTCTAGAAGTGCAAATTAGGTTGGGTCATGTTAAAATGTGAACCACACTGAAGTTCTCCTTAATCCCTTATCACAACATAGCCGCTTTCTTGGGGGTGGATTATGAAGGCATCCTTTCTTGTGCAAAGGACATATTCCAGCATCTCCCCAAATGGGTGAGAGATCCATGCAAGAGTCTGGAAGTGACCTAAGACTGTGTTGTTGTTTTTAATGTGCATATGCTAAAGCTCTAATCACGTACAGGATCACTGTGGTTTGTCTGATCCTCCCCCTGCAACAGCCTCCCTAGGAGCATTAAGAACAACAAAATTCCACATGCATATACAAGGCTCCATTTTTACACCTGCACAAAAAGCCAGAGACATAACAGGAGTAAACAATAGGTGTACAAGCATAGCATTATTGTTGCTTGCTGCCTGTAGACAGGGGTATCATGGATGGGAGATGTGAGCTACAGCCCTAAATCTTTCTCATATTACAGTTTCCAAAGAAGTAACTCCATTAGTCTTTTGCAGCAAAAAACAAAACAAGAGTCTTGTGGCACCTTCAAGATAAACACATTTGGGAGGGCATAAATTATTACAGTATTTGTCATGGCATTACCTGTGAGCCCATTCCCTTGAGGAAAATTTGTAAAATCAAGAGAGTCTCAAAATATCTTTTTCTTCTTTTTGGTCAACCTTTTTAAATATTTCAGATTTATAGTGTTTCACAAGTCATACTATAGGCTTTGTTTCAAGCTCAGCATGGTAGTGTAGTATGACAGTACTTTGTTTTCAGTACTCACTGTATAGTTGCTAGGCAACTAACCAGTGGCAGCAATTTGCATGGCTCTTTGTTTGGATTTTAATATGCAGGCATTAGAGCAATCTGATGCTGGCAATATAACCAATGACAAATAAGTTCCTTCCTGCATGTCAACTTCTTCTTCCATGGTGTATGTGTGTACGTTTGTGTTTTAATTTGTTTGTGTGCAAGTTACCATATATTACTGTAGTGTATTTTGTGTTACAGCTTATTTGTTCGGGATATATATATATATATATGACATAAGCAACTGTCACTAAATTTATATTTAAAACATAAAGGAAAATGATGATATGATAGGCAAGACATATTTAAAACATCTGCAAACCTTGTTTGCAATTCAAGTAAATTACAGGAACTGGTTTGTTCATAGATACAGAATAAGGAGAAATTAGTAGTTCAGAGAGAAAGAAATTGAATTGCAAGCTGCAATTATCCTGTAAGGAAATCAAGTTTCTCAGTGATATGTAAAAATCATCCCTTAATAATAATGAAATCTGTTGCCACTTCAGAGAAATATCCCTGTCTGTCTGAAAATCAAGGAGTCAGCAAAGAGCCAAGAGTGTAGACAAGGAGTAAACATTTTGTTGAAGTGGCAGCAGTCAGTGATGAATTAGCATCACTTTTGGCAATGCTTTGCTTTGCTTCAGACACGTTTGCAGACTCGTTGCTCCATAAACCACAGTGTGGCAGTCTTGGTAACTTGTGCTCAAAAGTTGAAGTGAAGGTGAATTGAGGGCTGTGATTAAAATAGCTCTCTCATGAAAGTGTGCATGCAGACCAAAATGGAAATTTAGAAGATAAGGATGAGTCTCTCGGCATGTGAAATGTCAACTGGCACTTCTGATTGGCATAAATAAAGGCACAAATACATAAATAACGGGGGAATTTCCTACCATAGAAAATGTTCAGCTATAATAATCAGCATGCAATGGGAAAATTCCAGAAGGGTAGCCATGTTAGGCTGTTGCAACAAAACCAACAAAAAGTATTAGGACATCTTCAAGACAGATTTATGGTGGCATTAGCTTTTGCAGACTAGAGCCCACTTCATCAGACACACAATATATTTGGGCCATCTGTAATCGCCCCAAACCCAATGTCCAATCATAGGCACCCACTGAAGTTCAGACTGTCCTTATTCTCAGAGAGGATGGGCCTAAGTCTGTCGCATCCTATTTCCAGGTTGATTTTAAAGAGGAATACCTTTAAAAATCTACCCAGGAACACATATTGTAAATATATATTTAAAACCATTGAGAATATATTCAAAACAACTTACAAGGTGGTTCAAGGGTTGTGCTCTCCCTCTGTTCCACCCACCCAGGGTGCCAACTTGAATACAACATTGGGGGAGGGCAAGTAAGCCCTGCCCTGCATAAATGAACCGCATCCTCCACATTTCACCCTCAACATCCCGATCTCTCCCTCATTTCTCTCTCCAAAATGGCTGCCTCATACACCCTTATACACTGAGAGGTCTGCCCCCTCACTATGCTGTGAACCTGAGGGAGCAGGCAATGGAGGGGCCATTGGTCCAGAGCCCATCAAACTCATGCAGGGTCCCTTGTGACATCCGCTCCATCTTAGGAGCAGATATATAACAGATATATAAAAATGGAATATATCAAATGAACGTGTATACAGTATAGCTAAATGAAGCAGTGCTCATCTGCACCTTAAATTTGTTTTTATACTCTTTATTTAATAATCAGGCTTTATTTCAAAGTATATTGATTCCTCCGTGCATTCAGAAGTCTTCACATTTGATAATAAAAACATGTTCTTGATAACTGAATCCCTTAGCAGTTAATCTCTGGTGTCTTCATTAGTGATGAGAATCGCACAGAGACCCAACTGCATCAAGTAAACTGTGATATGCCACATGATTATTGTTGAAACTCATTTGCAAGTCTCTCTGTATACAAAGGAAGACAGAAAAAATGAAGTTTCCAATTTTAGAGCTCCAGATTAATACAATGGGAAAAGGTTGCATACGTTATTCATTTTGCTTAACTAACACAGTATCTTATACATCCTCTTCATTTAATACTAAATATTTCAGTTGGGTTGGTATATACGTTAAGAATTTTATCAGAGAACTTGTAAAAAAAAGCAGGACTTAAGTTGCAATTCAACCCTAAATATAATGACTAGGGAGTAAATCCCACTGAGCTCAGGATTTAATACTGCATAAACATGCACAGGATGGTGCCACAGGGCTGCACTCCTATACACTTACATGATAATAAGTCCCAACAGCTTAGAGAGTATGCCCTGAGAGCAAGAGCCAGTTTGTTTTCTCCCCTCTGAAAGTTGGCCTAAATTTGCACCTATACATATTAATGAGCATATGCAAATTTTATGCCTCCGCATCTTCTAAGTACCCAACAATGCCCTTTTGCCTGTATCTGTTTCATCACGTATCTGAGTTCAAACACCATGTCATTGCAAAATAAATGGCATCCTAATGTACTTAGCTTGTTTCTGCTTGCAAGGTAGGCTGTGTATTTACTCAGACTCCAGTGCTCTCCTACTGCTGGTGTTTGAACCTCAGTACACAAGAAGTTAGCCACAATTCATCTTTACTCTGTAGTTTCTTTATTATGTGCTTTTCCTCAAAACAGCTTCCAAACCATTTGAAGCCATAAGCCATAGTTAAGGCAAGGTGTTTACATTTTAGGCATCCATTGTGCATGCGTAGATGACTGCTGCATTGAATAGGAGTTGGGGCTGTGGGAGCAAGAAAACAAGCTAGGTAGTGATATGCACAGCAATGTAGAAGGCAACTTTTACTCTATACTAAAAACCTGTGGTCATTTGGGGATGCGGGAGTGTTGCATTAATTTTGTATGGGATATTCTGCTTTTATCGCTCCTATGCCCTTCATATCTTTGGCTTTACTTGCATGCTTGGGTCTCTAATCAACAGCCCCTCGCACATACACAGCTGTAATAATAGTAATGGGTGCAATTAAAAAATACATATCAAATTTGGTACCCCTCTTTTTGCCAGCATTCATGCATTCACTCTTCCTACCACATTTATTAAGGGTGTCAAAATGTTATATTTATCACCAGTTTCTAAGGTGATTTCCAGTGGCTGAATCGCTGCTGTAATTCAGCTGCAAAGAGGCATACAGTAAGGCTGTCCTGTCTTCTTTGCTTTTTCATTTTAACTATAGAACTCCTGGGGTGTGTGTTGAGTCAAAATCTAGAATTTAAGGGCTAGAGATTAACAGACTAAATCATACACTCTGGGTTTACATCAAGGATACTTTAATATACGGTATTTGTGTGAACTGTGTTTCCCAAAGTGAATTACCTAATTAATGGGGTAATCCTATGACAATATCTACCAGGATGAGCAGTCAGGATACAGTGGATCTCTGGATCAACTGGCTGATTCCTGGCTCAGAGGGCATTAAGTCCCCAACCTCATCTCAGCTGAAGATACGCCAACATAACTTGCTCATCCCAGCTTAGCCTGCTGAGCCGAGCCCAATGTACCGTAAGTCCCCCAAAGGGGGCATTCTGGAGGTGTGGGAGGAATGGGACCACAGAAAGGGGACTTAGGTTGGATCCCAAGGTTATTCAGCTTGGTCATGTGACCCAATAACATAACCATTTTAAAGACTTGTTTGCCCTTTTTCCAGTGACTGATTTAGGGGAGAGTGACTGTTTCGGTTGCACTGGATGCGGAGCTTCAGGGGAACTGTAACTATGATGTATAATGGAAGGGGAGAGGTGGGGGAACACCAAATTTTGGCGTTGCACTAGGCACCGCTAAAATTTGAGACCCTAAGGTCGGCCACTGCTCTGCCAGATTTGGAGAGAGCAGAAGCACCCTTACTGAATGGGTTTTGGATCTGGTGTAACTTTATCTTGGCTTAATTTACACTGGCTTACTTTATGCCAGCTTCTTCTGCATTGGGTTGCTCCCAAAATCAGTTTGGCCACCTCTTTGGGTACGCATACAAACACTATATTCTTAAAGACATCAGCCTTGTGTAGTCTTTTTGAATTAATACAATGGAAGCAGTGGCCACAGATTTAGAGTTAGAAATTTTAACTATTAATATAGTGTGTGTATGAATACTTACCAAAGTCAACATTCTCCCCCATCTGATATACTTTTGAATCTGTCTGTTTCGGTGCCACTGATCTGTTTCATGAAAATGGTCCGATGGGCTTTTTTCACTTTCCTTTGGAATACAGAAGGGCTCCATTTTTCATTAGCTGCGAAATGGTTTTTTTAAATTTCCCAAATCTTCAAGACAATCATACCGCACTTATCTTTTCTAAAAATTTTATGGCAAATAACTGAACCCCATGAATGCTATGCTAGAGAACTAAAATGCTGATACCATTACATGTTTATCCTCAGACAACTCTGCCTACAATCCTAGTTTGGGACTGGGCAGGCAATTGACTTTTGATCCCTATTCTCACAACACACTCAACACCCTGCGGAAATCCCAGTTTTCAAAATAACTGGAAAACACTTCCTTTAATGTTCTAGGGTTGAAGTTAACATATTACCCTTGGATCAATGAATACGCCCAGATGATGTCTTTTTTTGATGTAACAGCTATGCTAAATAAATTGGCCACAATAAAAACACGAAGCAAATAAAACACCTGTTTATCTATTTTTATTATTGTCTTGTGATGTACTCTTAAGCTCTCACTCTGTTTATGGATCTGGAACTAGCCCTATGGATCCCTGTAAAGGTTGGCAATGAACAAATTATAACCAATGTGAAACAGATCTAAGTGTACTATATGAGGCTTGGGATAAAGAACACAAGAACACAAGGCAGATGGAAAGTAGTGCTTCAGTCTATTGAATCTTCAGGGGGGCAATATCAACTGAAAAACCTGTGCATAGCAGGGAGAGAAATGAACCAGATTTGTGGAGAAGGTACCTTATGGAGGGAATAAGCCTTTTCTGGGGTTCATAGGCATATAAACTTCATTCAGGCTACTGTGCTGTGCTGAATATGGAAACAGGTAATGAGAACCATATTCAGCCTTGGGGTAAGATGTAGGGTGATTGGCTTATTAAAATCCCATAATTAAAAGTCTTAGTGATAGTACTATTAGCATATGCAAAGTTTTGCAGTATCAGCACACAAGTTAAGGTTACGTTACCGTAAGACCTACCATTAGACTACGTTGGGGGAACAAAATTAGATTCTTATATAGCCCAATCCTACGGGTGTTTATTCAGAAATAAGTCACACTGAGTTCAGAGGGATTAATTCCCGTAAACAAAAGCATATGATTTCAGCTTTTTTTCCTGTATACTTCTATATAAAAAGCTTTTCTAAACTATGGAATTAGTAATTTCAGCAAGTGATCAGGGTAATTGTCACATGGAGTGTATTGCAATTAAAAACATTTGCAGAAAGGATTAGGGCTATTGATGCCAGAAATTCCCTTTTTCATCGAAATGCACTCTCATCGAAATGGAGATGGCAGGTAGCAGATCTGGGGGTACCATTAAAGGACAGCAAATTGTCAATTTATTATAAATGGCATCCAAAGCTCCGCAAGTAAAAGTCCAGTAGTGAAAGGGGGATCTGCCTGCCTGTCCTATCACTCTTGCATCTCCCCCCAAAAAGGCACCTGAGGATTAGCAGACTCTCAATAAAGGCCTAGGATGTGATTTGTGCACATGGAGGGGATGATTTGGCTGTCTATATTTGCCCTTGGGGGAGCATTGATATTATTTATGAGTTTGTCTCGCACAAGCAATAGTGACTTTCCCCAACTATTCATAGTCCCTGTATGTAGTTATATTTACTCAAGTTGCATTGTGGAAGTGTGGAGCGTTTTAAGATAGCAGTTAGAATGAAGGATGTAATGCTTCCTAAAGCTGAGGTTGGGAATTGTTAAAAGCAAGAGGGCTGAGAACATAAAATGGAGGCTGCAGCTCTAAATAAAAATAATGTATAATATAAGGCGGGGCTTTCCTTTGCTTTAAGCTGCCAAGGTAACTGCATTTTCAGCCTCAATTTCTTACAACAGGAAGGGGAGGTGGGGAGCGCTTATGCTTTTATTGCCAGGGCTGTCACGATCTGAGCTCTGGAGCACATGTCACCCGCAAAGAAGTGAAAGCAAAGTGAAGTGCTTTCAAGCACAAAAGGGGCACAAAGCAACACAAGAAAAATATTATCGGGGAAGGAATAAAAGAGATCTCGAGAAAAATAAACCAGGCTTTGCTCCGAAAGGAGTCACGCAGAGCGCCTGTCACGGCTTGACTGCCCTAATTATAGAGAGAAATGCAGCATCTTCGTGAATTGAAGGCGTAAATAACTCGCTGGCAAGGGGGCTCCTCGATGCGATTGGCTTTAGGGTTGAATCTGTATTACACCAAAAAACACGGGGGGGGGCGGGGGAGCTGCCCCGAATTTCTAAAGGACCACGACTGCTGTCGAGTTTTTCATTGCATCTGTTTCTCAGCAGAGGGATCGGATTAAATTACTGCCAATTTAGCCTGAATGAAACGTTTCTCTCCTCCACCCCCCCCCGCCTCCCCAGACCCCTCCCCGCAAGAGGGGAAGAGAGCCTCAAGCAGCAGCACCAGGAGAAAGAGGCAGCCAGGCGCGGTACGAGAGGGAGGGGAAAAAGTGATCGACAGATCCAATGAGGGGAAGGCAGCCAACGGGCTTCCACGGAGACTGGAGACAATTGATCTGCGGGAGCTGGCTCAGGCTCCCTCTTCAACGTGAGGCGTGCACAGCCTCAGCCTCGCAGATCGCCGGAGCTGGCTGCAAAGCTGCGCGGCTATGGTCCGGAGCCAGTTCCTCGTGGCGGCCGAATCGCGCTAGAATCTCCACCAAGCCGGGCAGACCCCCTTGGCGAAGCGGGTTTCTTTTCTGTTATTTTGCTTTTTTCATTGCTTGCTTGTTTTGCTCTTTGCTTGACATTTCCCTGAGAGGCAAAGTGCGCCTCAGCAACCAGCCAGCCAGCCAGCCGCCGTCGGGTCCCCACGTGCACACGCGGGTGCCGATCACATTGGCAGGCTGGTGCTGCAGACTTGAATTTGGGGAGTAGCGGGAGCAGAAGCAGGAGCTAAAGAAAGAAAGAAGCGAGTTTCGCAAGCAAGGGTTGCAAAGGCCATTTGATTGCAACCGAGTTTGCGGCGGCGGGCAGCAAGCAGCAGCAGGAGGATGCCGGCGGCTGCTGGCGACGGGGCTCCTGAGCGAGCCCCCCGCGGCGAGCTTCGGGCGACGGCGGCGACGAGCCCACGACGCCCCCCCTCAGCCCCGAGGGGACGTTCCTGGCCGCCTGGGTCAACGCCGCCCGCGTCCCGGAGCGGCTCCGCGAGTTCCAGCACACCAAGCGCGTGGGCAATTACCTGATCGGAAGGAAGTTGGGCGAGGGGTTCCTTCGCCAAAGTGCGGGGAAGGGCTGCACGTCGTGACCGGAGAAAAGGTACTTGGCCTTCTCGCCCCGCGCTCGAGGGGGGCAGCCTTTTGTTTTCCCGCCCATATGAACCAAGTCAGGCTTTGTTGCCCCTGAGGTGGCCCCACGTGAGGCGACCTCGCCGCTTATTCCGCTGCCCGGACTGCTTCGGGCAGTTGCTTGCTTATCGCCGCTTTGTCCCACCACCGTCCCAGCCTCCTCCCCGCGACCGAAATTTGGTTCGCCCGTCCGCTCTGTCCATTCGCGCGCCGCGTCCCCCAAATTCCCGTCAGCGAGTCGCCCCCCAGGGGCCGCTGTTCGCTACTTTCCCGCTCGCCCAGACGCTTCTCCCTCCGGTTCTCTTCCTATCCTTTGTAATAAGGATGGACGAGAGCTCTAGCGCTGGCTTTTTTGCTTAAATGGGCTTTCCGTGCGTGGGATTCTTCCTCTGGCAAGGGGTAATAATAACAATAATCAACAAACAAACACATAGCAGGAGGGGTATTCCAGTGTTGAGGTGCACCAAGAGAAGAGAGCCACCAAAGACATAAAATGTGAGGTGGCCGAATGCAGCAATGCCTTGTGGCACTTAAAAAAAAAATGACAGCACAATCCTATACCTCTGTGCAAAGGTTGCTGTATTGTGCTCCACTGAACATACAGTAATGGGATTAATCACTGTATAAGCATGTATAGGATTGTGCTTTTTAATGTGACATGTAAGCTGCCTTAAGAACCGAAGAGGAACCCTGCTGAATCAGGCCAAAGGCTCAACTAGCCCAATATTCTGCCAACCTAGCAGTTCAAAAGCACACCAGTGCAAGTAGATAAATAGTACCGCTCCGGCGGGAAGGTAAACAGCGTTTCCATGTGTTCTGTTACTTGGTACGGTGTTCCGTTGTGCCAGAAGCGGTTTAGTCATGCTGGCCACATGACCCAGAAAGCTGTCTGCGGACAAACGCTGGCTCCCTCAGCCTGAAGCGAGATGAGCACCGCACCCCATAGTCCCTTTGACTGGACTTAACCATCCAGGGGTCCTTTACCTTTTACCTTCTGTTTTTATTACAGTGTAGAGGCTGTTGGTCCAAGAGAGACTATGCCACACACACACACAAACACATAAATTGTGTGGCCATAGCAAAGTACACAGTAATCAGTAGTTGCCCAGGCTTTTGCAGTAGATATGTTATGCATTTTCCAATTAGTATAAATAAAGCATTTAGTGCTGCGAAGATGCAATAAAACTACAACAGACGCTCGATACAGACTGTGTCTGGATTTGACATAACAAATGGGTGACAACCGCACCTAGAAAGGTTCTTGCTTTTGGCATTATTCAGTGTGTGCTCTAAATATAATAACTTTGTTGATAACATGCAGCTTTGCTCAATAGTATATGACACAAATGACCATGCTTAAACCACTCACACTTAAATGGCAGTGTAAGGGAAATAAGTAGGGCCATTCCAGGACAACTCCAAAATGTGATTTGAAGATGACAACTCCAGAATATTTTGGAAACTCTTACCAAACAGGTATGTGGGTTAATGCTTGAC